AGAACTGGAGTAATGTGCTCTCTCGTCTTGGTGTACAGGGAGCCAGTGTAAGGATCTGAGAACTGGAGTAATGTGCTCTCTCGTCTTGGTGTACAGGGAGCCAGTGTAAGGATCTGAGAACTGGAGTAATGTGCTCATTCTTCTTGGTGTTAGGATTCTAGCAGCAGCATTTTGAATGAGTTGAAGTTGTTTGATGGTCTTTTGGGGAAGACCAGTGAGGAGACATTTACAATAGTCAAATCCCACATGTCAAAGAAATTCTTTAGCAAAGATGTTATTGGGATTATCTATGTGGATATTCAAATCACCAGCTATAAGAAAACTGTCAAAATCTGTAGAGTTGACAGAAGATCAGAAAATGTATCAAACTTAGTATTTTGGAGGTCTGTAGACAATTACTAATAAAATTTGTGGCGTGTCCTTCGTTATGGCACTGGGTTATTTAAAGGAGGCAAATTCACCTAATGATGTTTGCCTGAATTGGCATGAGTCCTTAAACAAGACAGCAACACCTCCACCTTTCCTCTCACCTCAAGAAACAGTAAAAAAAAAAAAAGTTCAAAGGGGTTGATTCAATTAGGACTCTTGAACTCGAGCTGCTATCAAGCTATGTTTCAGTTAATATCAAAAGTCTAGCTGATGATTAGAAATTAGGTTGTTGGCTAAGAATGACCAATAAGAGATCGGATATTAAAAAGAGCTAATTTTAAGGCATTAATGGAGGGCTTCGGGGCGGAATGATTCTGGCATGAGATACATTTCAGATTTGACTTCTTTGCCCGACGAGAGGAGATCATCCTGTTTTTTTCTATTGCCAATCTGTATTGAACTAGGACTACAGAATGCCCCCTTTGTCCAACTCAATCTGAGAACAAATGTACAATAATTAACACAGCAGAGACCCCAAGGAAGTCCTGGTTGTGCTGGACACGGCAGATAGAGGCTGGGTTTGAGTTCTGGCTTGTGCTGACTGTCTTTCACGGGAATCAGTGGACAGATTGGTGCTGCTGTCATGAGGAAGTGGGAGTAAGGTCCTGTCAGATTCAGGACAAGGGGGTTGGACTGGTGCGGTCTTGGAGTAGAGGGAGGAAGACGCTTCTTTAGTGAAATTTGAGGACTGCAGTTGAGCCTTGTCCCAGCACATACAATTTTGTCCAACTTACCTGAAAATAGTAGGTGCAGTGGTGATGCAGTGAAATCTGGGAGGGTGGGGGGAAAGAGATGGGGTAACTGGGATGTCTGAGGTGGCAGAAGTAAGATGTCACAGATCTCTGCAGGCTTCAGCAGTGGGTGCTGAGGAGTGCTGCTATGCTCCTGCCCCATATCATTACAACTGTCATCATTAGATAAGAATTCAGCTGAAATTGTGTCCTTGGCGGCTGAATGCTGATTAGCTGTGCCACTGTGTTCCTCTGGTACTGTCTGCAGTGTTACCCTACTGTGCCACAGCTAAAAGAACACAAAGTAATTGTTTACTTCTGATGCCCAGGAGTCTAGCTAACACGTATGTTCCACGTCTACTTTTTATTTTGAATTCCTGCAAAATGTTTATCCCATATATTAGTCAAAGCCACTCGATAACATGTAACGCCAGTTCATTTCTTACAGTACGCAAGAAGATGAAGACATTCTGGCGGTGGCCGACAGGGTGCGCTGTATGATTTGCCTCCCGCAGTTTCGCATAGCCAGACCTCATCTCGCGTGTCCAGTTACGGCGCTACAATGAAGCGTCACTTCAGTTAAACAGTTCCAGTCAAGTCTTTACTACTTTTCATTTCTAACATTCACAATAAAACTACGCTGCAAATATGGAAATTGGGACCGAAATAAGCAAGAAAATACGGGTATTATGTCATTTAATAGCTTATTTGTAAGTTACTTTTTTATAAGTTTTAGAAAGGCTCGGTAAACAAGGCCAGAATGGCGGAACGGGGCAGCTGCCTTGTCAGGGTGACATGATGTAGCGTTGGTGTAACGATACTCTAGCTTTAATGGTCCGGGCGATTAACGTGTTACTGGTTTGGTAGCGGACTCTCTATGTCAGTTCTTGAAGCAGTTTTGCTCGTATGTTAAACGCTTATGTCCTCGGCCTAGCTAAGATGGCTCTGTGTAGCGTCAATGTTTGCATCGTTTACTGCGATAGGATTTAAAAATGCAGAAATATCGAAAATTGGCTATGATGTTGGCTTTGAATGAATCTGTGCAAGGATGCGTTTAAAACACTGATGTCTGATTTACGAGTATCTGAGCTGTTCGTTAGTTTTTGTGAATGGAATGAATGAATCCATGTTTTTGCAGACAGCGATTAAGGGCAAATTGCAAGAACTTGGCGCCTATGTCGGTAAGTTTTATTTTTTAGCGGTTGCAACCCGCCGATCCCGTATTTGGATTTAATCGTTGCTATGGTCTTGCGGCTAGTTGCTCCTTTCCTGATTTCCGTCTGTCCACCAGACGAGGAGTTGCCCGATTACATCATGGTGATGGTGGCGAACAAGAAAAATGCACAGCAGATGGCAGAGGACTTGTCCCTTTTCCTCGGCAACAACACCCTAAAGTTTACTGTGTGGTTAGTGTTCTGGTTTAATCAGCCATTTTCATATTCTCTGCCGTTGCACTGTTATTGTTTATTGATCGATTTTTTAACTGTCTAAATGTATGTCGTGCTATTGTTAACCTGCAATTTTCTTCGGGATTAATGTCACATTTTTTGAAGGCCTCTTACTCAACTTTTTAGGTCCTGAAATTCATATTTGACATTTATTGCAGGTTACATGGTGTCCTGGAGAAATTAAGATCAGTGGCAGTCGGTAAGGCTCACTGACTGTGATGAAATAAAATGGATATGTTTTATATAAATAAATGGGAAGTACAGAAGGTGTCACTCTGTAGCTCCATGATTATTAGCTCCTGTGCAGTGATCGCTTATGTGGTGGCTATCGAGTAACCCTCAGCTTATTTTGTCTGCAGAACCAACTTCACTCAGGACGCAGCACCCCAGCGCTGATCCCAGTGGTGCAGGGAGAGGCCGGGTTGCATCCCTAGAGGACAGGAGGGGAGAGGATCTACGTGGCTTGGCAGTGTCTAGCTCGCATCCGGATCGGACGGAGGCCCGCGTCACTACTAGCTCTGTGCATGAGCATCACATTACCACTGGACGGTGTGTGTGATGCCTATAAAGATAATTGTGTTCATGGACAGATGTGAGTGTCCCCCGTTAATCCAGCATCCTGTCTCTGCAGGCTAACCTCTGCAGTGAAGCCCCTGGTGGAGCTCCTGTCCTCCGAGGCTGTCATTGACATCAAGCCTGAGCTGGATGACGACCTCATTGCGGAGGATCTGGCAGAGGGGAGCGCGGGAGGCAGCAGAACCACGGTGCCAGCTGGCCACAGCTCTGCCCGCCCCTCTGTTGAGCTGTACAGGCCCCCGCCAGCGGTACGGGCTCCTGGGGCTCCAGCCCGCACACCGGGCCGGGCCCAGGAGAGCCTGCATGGTTACAGGCCCGCAGAGCAGCCTTACAGCAGGCCACACCACACCTCTATCCAGGACAGCAGGGGTTCCCGGCCTGCCAGAGAGGTGAGCTCTCCGCCGCAGTTAGTTATATCAAGGGCTATTGGAGCGGCAGATTCAGGGGGCCCTTGAATACTTAAAATTGTGGGGGTCGGGGGTCGGAATTTATAGGTGGCTTCTGCATTATTCCATGTCTGTGTTCTTTCTGACCTGCTGCTGCTCTGTTTTCCTCCTCTGCGTGCCCGTAGGACGAGGTCTCCCGCAAGCGCAAGGCCCCAGTGGCCAGCTCCATCGTCCGGGTCAGCAGGGGCGATGGGCGGGAGAGCGAGCAACTGGAAGAGGACGACGAGGAGGAGGAGGACGAGGATGAGGAAGGCTACGGGGGACGGAGTGGTGGTCTGTCCAGCAGAGTGTCCTTACCATCCAAACCGGAGCGCAGGTGCCCCCAACACACCAGGACTCATTTGAGATTTCTTATGGCGTACTCACACTTGGCCCGGTTGCCTAGTAATGTGCCCGTGCATGATTGCCCCCCCTACTCCCTCGCTGGTCTGTGCTCATAATGCATGCTACGGATTGGCTAATCAGAGTACAGTGGTACCTTGGAACATGAACTTAATTTGTTCCAGAAGGCTAGTCGAGATGTGATTTGGTTGAGGTCCAAGGTCGAATTTTCCCATAAGAAATAATGTATATGAGTTTAACGGTCAAGTTCCAGGATTGCGGTCGAGGTACTAGTCGGAAAAAAATGGACAGACCTGTTCGACGTCTGTTGGTCAACTTGAGAAATGTCGAGTTCCAAGATTCTGCTGTGCAGCCATATACAGCCCTGTGAAGAGAAATGTCTTCACCTGTTAATTACCAATGAGCAGTACAGATCAGCAGTACTCGACCAATGAAATCTGTCACATGTGGGGCAGTGGTGTGTGGCCTAGCAGGTTAGGTTTTTGCACCTGTGATTGGAAAGTAGCCAGCTTGAATCCCAGAGTGATGTCACCATTAGGCCCCTGAGTGAGGCCCTTAACCCCTAATTGCTCCGGGGGGGGGGCAGGGGGCTGCCTGACCCTGCTTTCTCAAATGTTTCTCAAATTGTACATGGATATTTAGCTTCCTGTTCTGCTGTTCGCTTCCTGTTGCAGACCCACTCTGCCTCCCGCAAAGCAAGCCAACAAGAACCTGATACTGAAGGCCATCTCTGAGGCCCAGGCATCCATCTCAAAGACAACGAATTACACAACAGGTGAGATTCAAACCGCGCACTTCCCACCAGCAGCACATCAGAACAAGAAAGAACTGGTGAAAACGGCGTTGTCTGCCGTCGCCATGACGACTCCCCTCGTCTCTCAGCACCTCAGCGGCAGATGGTACCTGTGGCTCCCCGCACGCGTTCTGCCGGGGATGAGTTGGGCACGCCCCATCTGCAGGCCCCAGAGGACCTCCTCAGCCCCGCCCCCAGGGAGCAGACTTACGTCCCGACTGAGCGTGCATCAGACAGGCAGGAAGGTCAGTGCGCTGTGTCACGTGCCAAATCCCATTTCCTTTAAGTGCTCAGCGATGTTTAAATGACCTTCCTGTTGGCGTTAAACCACAATATTATTTTTCTCAGTGTGTCAAAAGTCATTTCAAAATCTCTTCTAAAGTCAGGCCAGTATATGCAGCAACATTCCAATACACCTGTGTACTATTTTACTTGTCCACTAGCCCACCTCCTATGGCTAATCAATACCTCATTGAGTTATTTGACTAATTAATGATGTGAGCTGGCGGCAAAATTTCATGCATACATGGAATTGCCGGGTGACCTTGAGGAGAAGTTTGGGAACCAAAGCGGTGTTCATCTAGCCATCTAACTTTTTTTGGAGAACCAAAGTAATTCTTGTTTTTGTTTGTTGCTGTTACTTTGCATATGTTCTAATATTAAATTAATATTTTTTTCCCTGAGCAATGATACCCTTACTACCCATACAAATAGCTTCAACACATTCTTTGACTGCCTGAAACTTCTGCACAGTACTGTGCATCGTCTTGGTGCAATGTTTGCGATGACGTGACTAAGGAACTTTGACGTGAGCCCCAAGTTAAATAAATTGCACATCATTTGGGACGGTAGACGGTATGTTGTACAGTGTACCATGGTGAAGATGGTGTGAAAGTATTCAGAAGTTGCTGTCTTCATTCTTCATGCTCGCTGTTGTCCCCCCCCCCCAGTTCAGATGAGGTCCCTGTCCTCCCGGCTGCAGATGGACGTCTCAGAACACGGAGCAAGGGGACAGCAAGGTGACTATGCAGGCTGCCAAGCCGTGGTGCTCGTCTTCTGTGCTTCTCGCTCCGCTCGCTGGTGTCAATTACTACTCTCTTATTTACTCATCTCTCTCCTCACGGTAACGATGCACCCCTTCCCCCACAGCCTTCGTCGTGTCCGAGTTGGGCGGGATGAAGTCCAGTGATACGCGCTCCTTCATCGTGCGGCGGCCGGAGGTGGAGGACCTGGGGTCCGTGCAGAACCGGCTCGGGGGCCTGATGGAGGACACGGTGCCCCCCACGCCCCGCACAGTGCAAACCAGGTACGTGAGAAGACGGCATCCTAAGCAAGAGCAGCTAATCCTAACAGTCAGCTTGTCTTCTCTCTGTGCATGCACCTGTGTTTTGCACATACCTAGTTTTAGTTTGTGTGCCGTCGTGAACGAGCCTAATAGTGTCTGTCATGGTGGGATGTTTCAGTCGGGACAGGATGGAGACCCCGGTTTGCGCCAGTCCCAAGTTCATCGTGACCCTGGATGGGGTGCCCAGCCCCCTGGCGGACGTCATGGAAAGTGACACGGACAGCGGGGAGAGGCCCAAAGCGAGTGTGCACCAGCGGCTGCAGCGGGAGCAGCCTTACTCGGAGGGTGAGTCCCACATCTGGCTCTGCGGGCTTCCTACCGTTCTCCAAGCAGTCGGAGGCTGATTTGCTCCGTGATTGTGGTTGTCTTCCCGTCCCAACCTGATAGAAGAGGATGAGCCAGAGATGGACGCTGATGTCCCCGTGAAGCGACAGAAGGTTCTGGAGCGATGCAAGTTCTGGCCTGTGTGCAAGACCGGAGACGAATGCCTCTACCATCACCCCACGACCAAGTGCAAGTAAGCTGTGCCCAGCTGATCTGCCTGAGCCCTCATTGGGGTTTTCTGCTGACAACTCAGCCTCTGGCCCTGTGGTTATTGCTGGAGAAACACTGCCTCTTCCTTGATTGAGCACTTAGGGTGTTGCCAGAAAGTCCAGTGGTCAGATTCTGAATTATCCACCCACTTCCTATTTTGTTTCCTGCAGGACTTTCCCCAGCTGCAAGTTTGGAGACAAGTGCCTGTTTGTCCACCCAAACTGCAAGTACGATGCCAAATGCACCAAGGCCGATTGCCCCTTCACCCACGTCAGTCGGAGAGGGCCTACCGCTCCGCCCCGCCCAGGTGCCTGTCCAATCCTTTTCACCTCTTCTGCCTTTTTAAAATGTCTTAGTTCACTTGCATATCACAATGTATCTGACTGAGCTTAAAATTAAACAGCTTATGTTTTAACCAGCCGTTAAATGCTGGCAGTTACTTAATACCAGTCTAAGCATTGTGCTAGACAGTTTATGGATTATTTCTTTCTCACATGATCCACTTGAATTCCGAGCCAAGTGACATCACAAACCATGTGATTCCCGGCCCCACCTTTCTTCAGCATGTTTCTGTCCTGCTTTTCACGCCATGATTTTTCTCCCAAAGCTGCCCAGCCGTCCAGCGCCACCTGCCGTTTTTTCCCTGACTGCAAGAAGATGGACTGTCCATTTTATCACCCCAAGGTGAGTGTCTCCCATCGTTACTCTCACACTGCACCTCATTTGAAGCTGTGAACTGGGCCTTGACGCCTTTTGTTCTCCCCTGCTTCAGGCCTGTCGGTTTGCAGCGCAGTGCAAGAGGACCGGCTGCCCCTTCTACCACCCAGCTCAGTCTGTGCCACCTAGACATGCCCTCAAGTGGACGAAAGCCCCAAACAGGTATCCAAACTTGCACATGCAGCCAATCAGCTACTGCTCCTTTTGATGATGTGTGTCCAGTGTTCTCTCCCGGCTCGTTATCTACTGTGCATGCTGGCTAGAACAAGCTTGTTATGTCTTCAGTTCTATCTGACTTAACGAATCTGGCTGCCTGTTTTCCAGCCACTTCTGTCATCACTGAGTGAGATATTCACCTATTATGCATGACTTACACTAAAAATGTAAGCAATGCATTTTTTTGCGCATGTCTAGAGCTGAATGCTCTGAAGCGATTGAGATTTAACATATACATATAACATCACAATGTGATCTGTTCCTTCACCTCCAAATGCAATCCTGAGATTAAGTAGGAAATCTTATGGTTCATTTGTGGTTGATTTCTTTATCCCCCCTAAGACACTTTATATCTGAGTGAATAATGCTCACATTTCTAAATGTCTTTTTTTTTTTTTCTTCCAACAGTTAAATATGTGGAGTTGTCGCAACACTGGCAGAGCCAAGAAAAAAAAGTGGTTGTATTGTTAACTTTTTAATTAGTTTGCTTATTAATTGTCAGAGTGGTCTTTTAATTTAGTTTCTTTTCAAATTGTGAACTTTTGTTTTTTTAACCAGTTTTTTTTGTAAACACCTGTACATTGAGTCCACTGTTATGGTTATATTAAAATAACGTACCACAGTGTTCTTAACCTACATTGTCATTATTAAATGCCCTGGATAACGGGTTCAGTGTGATGTGGGAAATGTGTCAAATCGAAATGAAGCTTTACTTTGGTCTGAGTATTTAGTTCTGGGATTTTCTCAGTGCCCATCCATACAATAAATTTTACAGTGTATAATGTGAGTGGCATTTAGAACAGATGTACAGCGTTTAGTTGGTAGTTTCTGAACTTCAGCAAATATACCTTTTTTGACACTGCTCCAAGGGCATAGATGCAGGTATGGACACAGATACGCGTATATGTCCTTGCAAATACTGTGTTAGTACCATGTCTTTAGGGAGGCGTGGGCTTCAGGACTGATGTGTTCCCTACCAGTGCTGAAACCAGCTGTGCGTCCTTCTACGGCTCCTTGTTTGTCTGAGTCAAACAGGCTCTCTTACGCATTCCCCAGCACTGCCACTAGAGGACACCCTCTCTGTGCCTTCACCTGATGTCACGGCCCGGTGCACAACATAGGTTGGGTTCAGATCAGGCAGGCTGTTCCTCCCAATCACACCCTTCCAGGTTTCATCGCTACCTACACGAGCGTTAAAGTCCCCCAGCAGAACTATGGAGTCCCCAGGGGGGGGGGGGAGCTTCCAGCACCCCTTCCAAGGTCTCCAAGAAGGCCAGATACTCTGAACTGTTGTTTGGTGCATACATAAAGACCACAGTCAAAGACTGTCCACTGGCATGAAGTCAAAGAAAGGTGACCCTCTCGTTCACTGGGATAAACGCGGTTATATGGGGCATGTGCAATCATCACCTGGGCTTTAGATGACGGGTAAAACGCTTGTCCGGATGCCGGCTTTTCAGTGCTATAAGGACGTTTACTTACGCCAACAGTTTGGTCAGCAGCTTAGTAGTATGCCTAAATATAAATGAGATAAGGATTGCGACGTCCAACTGCGTTGTTGAATAACTTTCATGGATCTTAGATCTTGCATGTAAGCATGGGCGTAAATTAATAAATCAAAACCACCCAATAATCATGTTTCCCCCGTAATGGGTGGAGACCTCACCCCCCCCCCCCCAATATTCCAGCCAAAGTTACACCCTAGCATGTAATGTGGTTGTCAATAGTATGTGAGGGTGCGTTATGATGTTCTGGCGCCCTCTCCTGGGTCATTCCCTGCCTTGCGCCTGTTGCTTCTGGAATAGACTCCGGAGTCCGGACAAGCAAGAATAAAAAATGGATAGATGTCATCTAACATGTACAACGACCCTAAAATCACACTGCTTATGTACAAATAAAACTTAGTATCGGAAAAGATGCCATAGCTAGTAAAAATTGGAACTGAATTACAAATTAATACAAAGCCCTCAACGGAACTTTCTGCCAGTTTTATAGGCAAAAAAGCAGGTAGTTTCTGAACTCAATGAAATATCGGTTTTTACATGGCCGATACGGCTCTTTTTGTGTCCGAATCAAGCAGGCACCTCTAAGCGCTCCCCAGCGCTACCACGAAAGGGCACGCACGCCTCGCTTCAGCCTGACGTCACCGCCAGGTGACGCTTATCAGCTCGAAAAGACGCTTTTGCTTTCGCCGGGTGCAGTGGCGCGCGCCTGTAATCCAAGCTACCGGGAGGCTGAGGCTAGCGGACCGCTTGAGCTCAGGAGCTCTGTGCCGTAGCGAACTATGCCGATCGGGTGTCCGCACTAAGCTCGGTACCGATATGGTGCTCCCGGGGGAGCTCGGGACTACCAGGTCGCCTAAAGAGGGGTGAACCGGCCCAGGTCGGAAACGGAGCAGGTCAAAGCCCCCGTGCCGCTCAGTAGTGGGATCGCGCCCGTGAATAGACGCTACGGTGCAGCCTGAGCAACACAACGGAACCTCGTCTTTTATTCACTTCACTCCAGCTCTCTCTTCAAACCACCAGCTAGCCCATTCCAATGCTGCCCAAAACGTTTCCCTGCTTATATAAACTTACCGGCATATCAAATCTCCCTATCACAATCAGCATACATATCACCTCATAAATATTCTTTGCTGTATATTATCAAACAAATTTCCCTTAAAATTGTATTTTAACTGCAATTATTTAAGAACATAAAATTATATTTACTGCCGTTTCCCCCTCAGGTAACTGGCTATGTTATCGCCACCTATCGATAGAAAATCTATATCTACATTTTAATCACGCCGTTCCAATAACTTCAGCTGGTGACGTCCTTCTGGGATTTGATTGATAAAGTCCCCCCGTTGAAAGTTATTTGGAAAAAACTTATAAAATCCGTTACATACTTTTATAAATGTCATAATCATTCCCTCAGATATAAAACTTTCTAGCTGGATACAGCAATTAAGCACAAATGGACTAAGATTTCCTACTGTATCTAAAGACTACATTTGGGGGTGAAGGAGCAGATCACGCTGTGCTAAGAAATCAATTCACAGCCCTGATGTTACACCCATATGCTAAATATAGATTGCTTTAAAGTATACAATTCTCAGGGAGCAGGATGTCTATTAGTACCTAGAGTAGAAAGAGCTAAGGCAGGCTGCAGAGCATTCTCTTATAGAGCTCCGCAGCTGTGGAATAGTCTTCCAGCGGATGTGCGAGATTCAGGCTCACTCTCAGTATTCAAGTCAGGGCTAAAAACACAATTGATAGTTTATCTTTATCTTATAGGGACTCTAGTTCTAGCTCTGTATGCCCTGCTGCTGTAACACTACTCATCCTGCCATCAGATGCAGCATCAGCACCTGTAAGCAATCATCTGCTGGAGGATGGGCTCCCCTTTGAGTCAAAGATCCATTCTTCTACAGGGAGTTTTTCCTTGCCTCTGTCTCCTCTGGCTTGCTCACTGGGGGCTTTGGGTGGGGTTAATGTAAAGCGCTTTCAGGCAATGTTATATTGTGAAAATGTGCTATATAAATAACATTGAATTGAAATAGTGTTAAATGGCCAGTTAAAGTATAAGTTGTTTCAATTTAAGTGAGCTCTGTCAGATACATTGTGATATGGAAGTAAACAAGTGAATTATGACAAAAATGGAAAACGTGAAAGGCAGGACTTGGTGTGGCGGGGCGGTAGGCCCTCTCCTACTGACATGGGTGGAGGGGCAATCGGTCTTGGTGCACTTGGTGTCATACTTGCAGTTTGGATGAACAATGAGGCACTAATTGTCTCCAAACTTGTAGCTGAGTAAGTCCTACAGGAAACAAAATTATAGTGAATCATAGAGAGATCATTTCAGCCTTTAAACATACAGATAAAGTAATCCATGTAAATGTATCTGAACAGGATGTATGAGTTTTCCCGCATAACTGGAACTGTGTGTGTGTGTGTGTGTGTGTGTGTGTGGGTGGGTGGGGTTATCTTATCAAATCGCAGAATGGTGTCCACCAGCTGAAGTTATTGAAACCGCGGGATTAAAATGATGATATGCCTGTTTTCAATCCATAGGTGGCGATAATATACCCGGTAACATGGGGGGGAAACAGGACTAAATACAATTTTTACAGTTAAAATACAATTTTAAGGGAAATTTGTCTGATAATGTACAGCAAAGAATAGGCTATATATGAGGTGATATATATCCTGATTGTGACAGGGAGATTTGATATGTCGGTAAGTTTATATAAGCAGGGAAACGTTTTAGGCAGCATTGGAATGGGCTAGGTGGTGATTTGAAGAGAGAGCTGGAGTGAAGTGAATAAAAGACGAGGTTCCGTTGTGTTGTTCAGGCTGCACCGTAGCGTCTATTCACGGGCGCGATCCCACTACTGAGCGGCACGGGGGCTTTGACCTGCTCCGTTTCCGACCTGGGCCGGTTCACCCCTCCTTAGGCGACTTGGTGTTCCCGAGCTCCCCCGGGAGCACTATGATGATACCGAGCTTAGTGCGGACTCCGGATCGGCATAGCCCGCTACGGCA